AATCTCGGGATTCTTGGTTCAGCAGAAGAAGTGAAAGGAAATTTGGTGGCGACTGTACCTCTGTTCCTCTCTACACATTAACCTTGATAGTGTGTTAAATGCCTGTCGTATCCCACAGTCGCTCACGAAGCATTCCGACAGAGGTGTTGGCTTTGACTCGTCTGTAGGAGGGTCAGTCATCACTGTCGCTTTGTTTATATACAGTAGAATATTTAGGCAAGTATTCGTGAGTTTGTGTGACCTGACGTGTTATACATAGGTTAGGTTAGGTTAGGTTAGGTCAGGTTAGGTTAGGTTAGGTTATTCCCAAGTACTCTGGTTGGTAGTGAGTTCGGGGTTCTTACAAGCATCTGAGTGTAACTGGATGGTACACTGGGATCGGATTGTGTCTAGATAATAAACTGGACATCTGAGTGTGGCTGGTTGATAAAGTGGACATCTGAGTGTGACTAAATGATAATTTGGACATTTATGGGAGGGTGAATAATTAACTGGACTTCTGAATGTGGCTCGATGATAAACTGGACATCTGAGTACAGCTGGATTATAAAGTGGACATCTAAATGTGGCTGGATGATAAAGTGGATTATCTGAGTGTAGGTGAATGATAAACTGGACATCTCAATGTGGGTGGATGATAAAGTGGACATCTGAGAGGGGAGGTCATCTTGCGTGTAATAGGCTGTCGGTACACGTTCGTCAAGCAGATAATCCGCTAGAGATGAGTAAGACAGAGAGGCGACACAAATAGAGAGAGGGGGGGGGGCGATACAAAATAATAGAAAGAGAGAGAAAAAAAGATAAAAAGGGAGAGAGAGAGAGAGAGATAATTAAATATAGAGAGAAATGGAGATAGAGAAAAGAGAGAACACTAACACGTAATTAATAAGTACCATAAAAAATCTCACAAAAATCTCAATCAGAAAACAATTCCCAATATATAAAAATTTAATACCACATAATAAAATATCTATCAACGTCAGAGGTAAAGGGAAACAGACAATAAAGATTAGTTTACTCTGACAACAAAAGGACTGAGCGTAAACAGTCAATGAATTCCTCGTTCTTCATCCTGTCATCACATATCTGAGGTTGTTTGCCCGACTGTTGCTCTTAACGACAACGCAAACATTGCTCATCTAACGTATAAATACACACTTTTAATGTTTTTATGGTGGCGCGTTTAGTGCTTGATGGATCTGAAGGATTATATAGCATTAGTTATTTCAATAGTAAATAAATATGCATGTAAGATACCTAATGGCCACCCTAATTAGAGGTATCCAAGGCTAGGGGAGGAGGTCAGTGGCCTGTGTAGGATCCCTCCATTGTTCTTGATAGTCTTGTCAAGGGCTATATTGAAGTCCATTGCCGTCCTCGCTTCCGTAACTTGAGCTGGTAGACTGTTCCATATATCTACTGCCCCCTGAGTGAAGAAGTATTTCCTTGGCAAGCTTGTGTCCTCTTGTGTCCTAACTTCCTGAATACAACGACTTAATCCCTTGAGTACCATGACTTTAACTTTTGAGTACGATATCGTAAGCCTTTGAATACTATGAATACTATTAGCCATTCCCTAGATAAAATGAGAGGGGCTTAAGCCATCGTCCTCAAGGGGTTAAATTTCTTTCGTTGATAATTATTTCAGATGAGAGTAAACAGTGGTCTGTATATGAGAGAGAGAGAGAGAGAGAGAGAGAGAGAGAGATGTGTGTGTGTGTGTGTGTGTGTGTGTGTGTGTGTGTGTGTGTGTCTAGTATTTGTATGTGTGGGACAACACGGGACCAGTCTGTAGAGATAATGTAATATCTTTTGATTTTCTCCTCGACGTAACTCACTTCCCACAAACTTGAACATTTACAGAAAAAGTTTTATAAGAATCCCTGTAAACGCCTTAGTTAAGGACGTTCAGGTGACGGGCAAGTCGAAGGGAATGATTGAAACCCGTCTTTTGACGCATTCAATATTTATTGATGTGGTCAAAACCTGCAGACAACAAGGTGTTCATTAGTATTACATGGTGATCTAGCTGATACATAATTAGTTAGGCTCACACAATTTAACTTAATTATAATTGATTACTGAGCATAATGACATGATACAAAGTTCATAACTCTATTAATCTTAGCTACACTTCATTCCGCGTGGTCTTATTGCTCCAGATAAGGCAGGAACGAGTGGGCATAATTAGTCCACAATATTTCAGTACTGAGGGATATGTCATCACTTTGGCTGTACTTACAAGTGCGGGTCCCAATGCGAACCAGTATGGTGTTCCAAGGAAGATAGTTCTGTGTAAATTGTTCCAGTACAAAACTCGGCCAGGATTGGGAGTTGTTGTTCACCACTGCTGGCAGGGTGTTGATCCTCACAGCATCACTTGAGGGGGCAGTCTCCTAGTGTCCAGGTGGCCACGCCGCCTTTTAAACCATACATTAGCAGAGTCATGATCTCTTCTCCGTAAACACCGCCCACCCCGTAATCTTTGTTCGGGTAAGGCAGCAAAAACGTCAGCACTGACACTAGTGTTGACGCCAGCGATGAAAACACTCCCGGCGATGCCAGCACTTACGCCAGTAGCAATGACATGTAAACACCGCTCACCCCCTAATCTTTATTCGGTTAAGGCAGTAAAAACGTCAGCACTGACGCCAGCGATGAAAACACTCCCTGCGATGCCAGCACTTACGCCAGTGGCGATGACACTCCCGGCGGTAAACACCGCCCCCCCCCCCCAGCTGCCACATCTGTCGAGGTAACAGGTCGCGTGGTGGGGGGGGGGGCATCACTCGAGAGGGCGATCTGTGTCATGAGATCCATGACACCCTCTCAGCGCTCACGCCAGTGGTGATGACACTCCCGGTGGTAAACACCGCCCCCCTCCCCCCCAGTCGCTACATCTGGTGTGGTAACAGGCCGCGTGTGGGGTGGGGGAAGTACATGGTTGTTGACACCAACGATAAAGCCAGCGGCGATAACAATCCCAAAAGAAATATTTCTTTACTATATTCTCCTGAAAAAGGTGCAGAGGGGAGAGGGAATACAGTCGGTGGTGCTAGTCTGTCTATATGTTTGTCTGTTACCTTGGAATGACTTGGTCTTTTAGGTAGAGGGTTTATTGCATTCAAACTTCATTCCCATGTTCAATTAACAGAGTTGATGAATCCTATTGATTCTGGTTTCGGTCGACAGAAATGTGTCGCCCATGGCACTGGCTAACTGAGTGCTGAAAAAACTGGGTAAAGGATATACTGACTATGTTGTTTTTTGTTCGATGTGGACAGACTCGCGAAAACACACATAAACACACACACAAACACACACACACACACACATACACACACACACACACACACACACACACACACACACACACACACACACACACACACACACACACACACACACACACAGCCTTCCGGCTGCCATGCTCTTCAAGAAACCGTTAATTATTATTATTATTATTATTATTATTATTATTATTATTATTATTATTATTATTATTATTATTATTATTATTATTATTATTATTATTATTATTATTATTATTATATTATTACACACACACAAGTGTGTGTGTCGGAGTATTGGGTGTTATTCTATTGTTAACTTGGTGATATTAAGTCATTTCAAAAGAGCAGCGTGTAACACCATGGAACAGGAGGGAGGGGAGGAGAATAGCGAAGCAGAAGGGGAAAACCGGAAAGGCGAGATAAAAAGGGAGAGTGAAAGAGTGACAAAGATGAAGGGATGAGGGTGAGGGCGGGTAAGGTAATCTCTCTCTCTCTCTCTCTCTCTCTCTCTCTCTCTCTCTTCTCCCCTTCATTGTATCTATATAATCTATATAGCCGTTTATTTTACATCTCCTTATCTATCTCTTATTCTCATGCAATGAACGACCTGAAAGACGCATATTAATTAGTAAATATGCGAAAACACATTAAAGAATAGATAAATTAATAATTAAAACTATGACAATAAAAGATGATATAAAGATTTAGTGATAATATTGTATTCTGAGTATAAGTTAATGGTAATTAGATGTCATAATTTGCATAATGAATAGTATTACCTGACCATATCCACTGTATCAGTTACTGTACCATCACCAGTCTGTATTATAACACCTGTATTATAACCACTGTACTATAACCAGTATATAACTAGTATGGATTATACCTACCGTACCACAATCATTATATGTCACCATAACGACTGGATTATAATTCTTGCACCATACCCACTGTACCATGTCCACTACACCATAACCCCTGTACCATTACCCCTGTACCACAACCCCTGAACCATAAACCATAATACCATAGCCACTGTACCATAAACCCAGTGCTATGACCACAGTACCTTAACCCCTGTACTATAACCACTATATCAAAAACAGTACAGTGTACACCGTAACCCCTGTACTATAACCTCTGTGCCATTACGAATGTACTATAGCCACTGTACCATAACCAATGTACCATAACCCCTGTACCATAACCCCTCTGCCACAACCCCCAGTGCTATAATCAATGTACTATAACCACTGTACCATAACGAATGTAAAATAACCAGTGTACCGTAACCAATGTACCATGACCCCTGTACTATAACCACTCTTCAATAAGAATTGTACCATAACCAATGCACCATAACCCCTGTATTATAACCCCTGTGCCATAACCACTGCACTATAACCAATGTACCATAACCACTTTTCAGTAACCACTGTGCCATAACCAATGTACCATAACACCTTTATTATAACCCATGTAACATAATCACTTCACCATAACCAATGTACCATAACCACCATTCAATAACCACTATTCCATAAAAATGTACCAAAACAACTGTATTATAACTCCTGTACCATAACCATTGCATCATAATCACAGGACCATAACCATTATTAACCACTGTAACATAACCGCTGTACCATAACCAATGTACCATAAGACCTGTATTATAACCCCTGTACCATAACCTCTCCTCGGCAGCGTTCGCGTACCGTGAGTGTGACAGTACGGGGTCTTGGCTCTGGGACGGCTGGACCAACTACTCCCAGTGTCTTAGCGTCATAGAAAACCAGGTCAGTTCTGTTCACTACTAGTCATTACAGGTTGTTACAGGTCAGCACAGGTCAATACAGGCCAGTTCACTTTCCAAAATGTTATTCCAGGTCAATCCTGATCAATTCAAGTCAATTCAGGTTACTAAAGGTTATTTCAGGTCAGCACAGGTCAAATCAGGTATATGTAGGTCAGTTTAGCTTACTACAGAATAGTTCATCTAACTACAAGTCACTTAAAGTCACTACAGGACAGTCCAGGTTTTTATATATCAGTAAAGTCATTAATATTTGTGTTCAGTTCACTACACTGAAAGTCAGTTAAAGTCCAAGTCAACTTTGGTCACTAAAAAGCAGTTCTATCACTTCAGGTCAGTCAATGGCAGTTTAGGACAAGCCAGGTCATTACAGATCGGCGGTCAAGACTCAATAGTTCAGTCCAGACTAATGCAGAGGTCAGTCCAGGTCACTAAAAGGTGCTTACAAGTCAGACTATGATACTTCATTTCCATCCAACCCTCATAATGTGCAGTGTAGAGGTCAATGCAGGTCACTGAAGGTCACTTAACATGAGGTTATGCCCTTTTGAATGGATATAGGTCAACACTAGATGGAGCATGTCACTAAGTATAGCCAGGTGTAGCTAACTAGGTGTGAATAAAAGTAACTAAATGTATATAAATATATTTAGACAAAATTAGTTTCAGACACATTAATAATAATCAATCATATTTAACATAAAGTGTCACTTCTATGATGGTAATGAAACTTTTCTTGTATTAGAAATTAAAATTCTTTATCGTTACATAGAATTTCCTGTATTTCCACTGTAATTCTGAATCTGTGCTTGTTCTTGTGTTTCCGAATGAGCTTTGTGAATTTCATTTTGAATCAATTTGCATATATTAATAAAGGTTGGCTTAGAACAATATCTGCTAGGATTGACTACTAGGTGATAGAGGGGGGTCATCATTCTTAAATGATCAGGAAATTTATTCTTCGTTTTTAAACTATTCATAATTCTTTCTTAATCTTTTCATCTCAGCATATTTTGTTTTTAACTCTTACTGGCTTGTGTTTTGCCCTCCTACGAATCTTGCTGTGATTTCTAGATTTTTAATGAAGACAAATTCCTCTAAGTGTTTAAATTTTCCTGGGCACTGGGACCCAGTGTCTGAGCGCTTGGTCTTGGTGAGACAGAAGGGCGCAGAGATTCGAATGTTCTGAGTGTTAGAGGAGAAATAAAGTGAGGCCATGAAGGGTTTTAGAAAGTGAAGAAGCTGACACACCTAAGGAAAAAGTGTGAAAGGTATGGGTACGTACAATAAGTACGTGTGGTGGGATTATATGTTTGTGAATTCTTCATGAGCGTCTAGTGAGGAGGGATGTGCTTGGTGAAATTCGGCGAAGTGAATCTACGATAAAAATAGGTGTGTGAGAAAAATGGTGCTGCTGTATTCTATACAGCCAATCCATATTCAAGGAACCAGCTGACAGATAAGCTACTGAGTGCGCCAGATGATTTGCTGACGGCGGGCGAAGCGATAAGGAAAATATAATGTGAACATAAACAAGACCACGGTTGTTGTGTGATAGAATATGTGAGCTTTGGTGGAATCAGGAGACGAAGGTGAGGCTTCAGATCCTTTTATGTTTAGGAGTAGTAGGCTTCATAGGAAGAGAGAAGTGGTTGGTGGAAATACTGGGCTAATATGTCGAGAGTGATTTATAAAGAGGCGGTGAATAGCTTCGTAGGGTAACAGGAGTAATGAAGATGAGGTGGTGCCCACTGATTAAGCCCTGTGTGTGTGTGTGTGTGTGTGTAATAATAATAATAATAATAAACGGTTTATTTATAGAGTTGCAGTCGGTGGCTGAAAATATACAAACCTACATGTGATTTAGACATAATTATATGCGTTCAATACATTTACAGAGCTTTATAGTACATAAATCAGGAGCTGTTTATTATTTTAACAATAGATGGGATGGTGCTATTCTTATATCTATCACTGTGGGGCTCTTGTGGGCTGAATTTTGTTGTAGTGGCGGACTGCGCGAGGTGGGCGGGGTACTGCCGGTGGCAGGAGGTGGCGATGACGAGGATGGTGCAGTAGTCCACTGCCAAACCTTGCTAGTGCTTGGTGGTGGAGGTCACTAAGAGATGGCATTTCCAGAGTGGAGAGAACGTTGTTGTAGCCGGAGTAGTCTGCACCGAGCATGATTCTGCAGGCCCTTTTCTGTACCTTCTCTAGCTGACGTTGTTGGGTAGAGTTGAGAGAAGACGACCAGGCTGGTGATGCATATGTTAATTTGGGGAGAGTAAATGCGTTGTAGATAGTCCTCAGCTCTGGCGTGGGTGCCCCAAGTGACCTGAGTCGTCATAGCATGTAGAGTCGGTACGAGGCTGCCTTGATTGAGTTGTTTACATGGGCCTTCCAGTCCAGTTTGTGGTCTATGGTGACACCCAGGAGTTTGGCAGACTGCACTAACTGGAGAGGATGGGCACCCACTGTGACTGCTGGAGCTTGCACTGGAGTGGTGGTGGTGTGTGTATGCGTGTGTGTGTGTGTGCGTGTGTATTTGAAAGGGTCACATACAGGGTGGTGTAATGCGTGTAGTTTGGCAGCATTATGTTAGTGTTAAGGTACAGGCATTGCTTGCTCACTCTCGCTTTCAGCTACCGCCAATGGCTAGCCCTCGTGGCGAACAGGGAAGCAACTTGCATAAGTCTTTCCCTACCATCAAGACTACTGCTGAGCCTCCACGTGGCAACACACGGAAACTGAGTGCCTCGTGGGCCCAGGCTAGACCAGCAGGGGATCTCGAAGTAGAAGTGGGCCGCAGAGGGACGGCACATAGGCCCACCGGTATGTGGATACGTCCTGAAGCATATCAACCAGTGCCCCACGGCTTTGTGGATTAACCTGGTAGGTATGAGGTTACGGGAGTAAACCCCGAACGAAAAATCTGCAGTGGAGGCCCGCATCAGGCAGAAATGCTTACAGAGCTCCAACATGACCCCCAACGGCGGTATAGGCAGAAGAGGTGACCACCATGGGAACCCAACGACTACACCTGTGTATGAAGGCAATGCATGATGTACATGTTACTAAGGCGAAACCCAACAAACTGGGCTATTGGCAGTCCATTGCAACTCTCCATCTCCCCAGCCATTGCAACACTTGCACCATTGGATCAGGAAAGGGGTGAGCCAAGATGTGTGGCTGCAGCCGGCACTCCTGCCTGACCACATAAATCAACTCACGCGCAGAAATCATCCAGCTCAAAATACCTCTCATCATCATCATAACCCATATACCCCTAAAAGTCCTATGGCGACGGACGAGTGGCGACGGGCACAGGCAGAGATGACTGCCGGGAGTCTCTAGTCACAACTCTGCACATGGGCATCACAGAAAAGATGGTCGTTTATGCACAGGGATCTAGGCAGCAGTGCAATCCGGGCCCGTCTGTGCAACTGAGAAGCCCTCTCGAGGAGCCACTCTGCTCACCCCACATGGGGAAGGAGTTAGAAAAGGTGCCCTAAACATAGCCTGCCTAAGAAAACCAATCTGACTGGACAATCGCACCCAGTAAGGTCATCCTTATGCAGTCGAAAAGATAATCAAAATCACGGATCAAAAAAAGAGCAAATAATATAATATCTTATGGTCGCTGCATAGAATGTCAGGCTCTTCTGGATATTGGCACAAATGAGCGTCCTGAAAGAAGAACTGCCGTTGTGGCAAAAGAGCTGGCTAAGTATAAAATCGACAAAGCAGCCATTATTGAATCCCGGCTCCCAGACAAGGTTCAACTCACAGAACGGGGGTCTGGCAATCCCTTCTTCTGGAAGGGTAAGCCTGCTGCGGAGAGAAACTGCATTTATGGAGTTGGCTTTGCCATCCCCCAATGCATTCTACACAGGCTAACTGAAATACCAATTGGGATCAACGAGCGCCTCATGATGCTCCGTGTCTCACTGAATCACTCACGCCATGCCTTCTTCATCGGTGCATAGGCACCAACCAACACTGAATGCATAGGGTGACATCAGAGAGGCCTTTTATGTGAACGTCGACAGAGTGCTAACCTCTATCCCCAGAAGAGAAACGGTTGTGCTTCTTGGTGACTTCGATGTTAGAGATGGCAGAGATGCTGATATTTGGCAGGGAACCATAGGGAGAAATGGACTAGGCAAGTGTAATCCCAACGGGCTACTCCTCCTCAGCAAGTGTGCTGCACACAACCTCACTGTCACCAATAAATTGTTTAGGCAGACCGACAAAATCAAGGGTTCGTGGCAACACCCACGATCTAAACACTGACATCTAATTGACTACATCATTTTCACAGAAAGAGATCGAAGGGATGTCCTCATCACCTGTGCCATACGTGGCTCTCACCACTGCGACACTGATCAACGGCTTGCCGGAGCCAAGCTATCACTTCACGTTGCCCCAAAACGGCGAAGGCAGCAAGCTTCTAGAAGAAGTTTTAACACTAAGCATCTGGAGGATCCAGTGGTAGCACATGCCTCCAGAGAGCAGCTTGAACATGGGCTGATAAACAACCCGACTACGAAAAACATAAATCCCAGTGCTGAATGGGATATTCTCCACACGGTCCAGACAATAACCTGAAGAGAGACCCTCAGCCAGATCGAAAGAATAGACCTGGAATGGTTTGATGAAAATGACTCGGCAATCACTGTACTCATCAATGATGAACGTGTTGCTTTAAATGCCTTGCAGAACAACCCACAGTCTCGGACTAAAGCTAATACCATCCACAGCAAGAAAGCTGTGGCCCAGCGGGAAATTCTCAATGCAAGGAACGACTGGTTTAAAAATAAAGCATGTGAAACACAAAAGTTTGCAGATAAGCACAAGATGCTTGAATTTTTCAATTCCACCAAAACATTTTATGGGCCAATCACTTGTGGACCAACACCCCTCCGCTCCTCCGATGGTAACTTCATAATAAAGACTTTAAAGGCCTCCTTCAGCGCTGGAAAG